ATTGGGAAGGCCAGAGCAGCTTTTGCGAACCTACGTCACCTGTGGCGTAGGCGTGACATCAGTTTCTCTGTCAAGGGTCGAGTTTACAATGCTGCGGTGCGCTCCATATTACTATATGGACCAGAAATCTGGCCGCTGCTCGCCGAGGACGTCAAAAGACTTTCAGTGTTTGACCATCGATGTCTTCGGAGCATTGCCCGAATCTGGTGGGAACACCGGATCAGCAATTCTGAAGTACGTCTAATGGTATTCGGGATAAATAACTCACCCTCGATAGATGAATTGATCACACTGCACAGGTTGCGTTTGGTTTGGCCACGTGCTGCGTATGCCAGTCGACCGACTTCCTCGAAGGGCTCTTTTCGCCCAACCATCACAAGAGAGCCAGAGGCGGTCAAACAATGACTTGGGAGCGAAGTATGAAGGCTATTACCAGCCAACTCAGCTGCGCTTGTCACTGCCGTCTTCCTGGATGGGGACCCCGAGACGGGCCACATCAATGGCTAGAGACATTGTCAGACATGGCCCAGTCGCGCCCTCAATGGCGCTCGTGCATCCAAGCTATTGCTTTCAATGCATAGCTTCTTTTCCACCCCCCCGCTTGACAACTCACTGACAGTGCTGGATTTATGCACCAATTTACCAGCTTGCGCGTGCAATGCGCAGCTACTTACCCCCCAATCATCGGTGAACGAAACTGTGGCAGCTACAACCAGTGTACGACGAGTACGCGGTTATTACAGCTGATAATGATGATGATGATGAAACGGAGGTGAGTGGAGAGTGATGGGGCGATTAGCTCAACCACTGCTAGAATTCTTGTTTCTGAGAAAACCCACATCAATTCCAAGCGAGTCCAGTGTGAGAGCAAGAGCAGTTGCTTGTCCTGCTTGCTTCAGAGTGTGGACATTGAAGGCGACTAGATAGATTGGGTGCCGAGGCTTGAAGATTGATTTGGAGATACCTGAGGATGTCGTCGCCATGTGACGAGCAGATGTTGCACGCAAAACCGATGAAAGACGAACGGAGTCACCATTCTCATCATCATCATCATCATCGACAGCATGACATCAGTGTTCAACACTGATCCTTCACTGACATTCTCACCACCATTCTCAGGTTCTAGGCCTACAAGAGGAGGGTTATTAATGAATTGGGGAAAGGGGAAAGAAAAGTATGTGAAACAGAAAGAAGGGAGGCGTCAGCGATAGCTTGTTTTCGCTTACCTGCCCTGCTATATGCAGCGTACGTATAAGCGACCATACGTATAAGCGAGTCATACGTAAGCGAGCCATACGTATAAGCGACCCACGATTCTAGTATTCCTGGATTTCCGAGGCGCATTCGACTCGGTTGATCGGTCTGTTCTTCTTGAGACGCTTGCCCACCAA